TCCGAGACATTTGTAATCGCGCTTTGACCAGATTGCGACGGATGTGACGACTCCGAGATCGGCTGGGCGCGACCGTCCGGCCCAGCTTGGTGCGACACCGTCACGGCGCTGGTGGCAGGTAGGGAAGGGTCTTGCTGAACGCTGACGGGTTTTGAGGGCGCATCGTCGGCGCGCAGCTTGGTTGCGACCGGGGCATCTCGAGCGGGGGCGGAATCGCTGGAATCAGAGCGCTTGCGCTTCAACTGCGGTAATGGCAGGCCACTAACGCCCGAGGCGGCGCAGTGCGGCGAGGTCGAGAGCATTTTAAGCTCCTCGGCCATCACCTTGTTGCCCCCGATAGCAGAGGACCAAGGAAGCAGGCGAAACATGCCATGCGAGGTTGAGCGCGGAAGAATGTAGAGAGGCGGATCTGCGCAAATGCGACGGGAATGCGACAAGTTTAGAGGCGCCACGTAAGAAGCACGGTACAGTCGAAAGTTGTTTGCCACGCAGACCCCATGCACCTGTGCATGCAAATGCGATCTAAATCCGGGGGAGAACGATGGGAGTAAAATGAAGGGAAGAGAGGAGCAGGCAACGAGGGAATGAAGGTTGCCGCCGATCGGTCAGACGTCGTTGTTTGCGACCGGTGGGAACCCAGCAAGGGGGAGAAAGGAAACACGGGGGGAGCCCCAACAAGAAACGGATGGCCGGAGCTCCGACAGTGAAAGCATGCAACAAGGCTGCTGCGTGAAGACGTAAGATTATTGGATCAGACTGGGGGAAGGGAGTTGGAAGGGCAACTAGGATTGGTCGAAAAAGGAAGAGGGATATTGATGATAAGAGTCCGGGCTGTCTGGATCCCCAAGTATGACCAGATTAAGTTGGGAGGGGAAGGAGGAACAGGACAGGAGGGAGCGACCAAAAAGTAGTGAACAAAGACCAGCAGAATAATAAAGACCGGTCGGAATCCTGGAAGACACAGCGAGAGCGTTCAAACTATCAAGCAAAACCTAAAGAGGAACCTCCTTCCCAGGCAGGTCACATGCACGCCGGGAAGGGGAAGCCAGCTGAAGCGGATCCACGGCTAGGTAAGTAGTAGTAGCAGCAGTAGTAGTGATTGATGGTGGTAGAAGTAAGAGGGCAACCCTTCCCAGTTCTCACGGGATGGTAATGGTAAGTAGGTTGGGTGGTGGCGTAATCTATTAATAATAACCAGTGGTAGATACTAGTTATTCTAGTGTGGGTGTGGATAGTAAAGTAGTTCGAGTGGAATGAATAGATAGCACCCGAAGCTAGTAGTAGTAGGTAGTCAAACCCAAGAGAGGGAGAAATCGAGAGGTGTTGTAGAGAGAGAGGGAGAGTACGGTTGGGAGAAAGAGAAGAAAGAATGGGTGGGAGGGAGAGAGAGAGAGGAGTACCAAGCGAGACGAAGGAAGGCGGACGTTGTCGGGTTAGAAAACAGTTGTGGTAATAGTAGCCAGAATAATAATCATAATCTTGAATAATTATGTTGATGTTGATGTTGTTGTTGGTGGTGTTGTTCAGGTCAACCTGGAGGGAAAATACCGTTAAGAAAAAAGGCGACTATTGGGAGATAATTAGGAACCCGATGAGAGGGGAATTTCAATACTTACGGAAGTCCGACCAGGGACCAAACCGGTTTGAGAGGCGAAAAAAGGTTAATTGGGAAGACGAAGGATTTTGGTTGAGTGGAAAGGGTAAGTAGGGAAAAGAAGTTGGGAGAAGAAGGAAGAACCCGGGATACGGGAGTGGAGGAAGTATTCAAGGGGTGGTGGTGGTGGTTTAGTCAGTCAGTTCAACTGGGGGGGGAAAGAAGAGAAAAAGAGAGATGGGATTAGTTAGTTATTCTCTCATCATGATTACAATATGTGAGTGTGAGTGACTACTTGTGACAGGGGAGGAAAACCGGGCGACAAAAGGACCATCCAAAAGCGAGTTGCAGTACTAGAGTAGTACATACATACATACAGCAGCTGCTGCTATTATTGATGGAGGAGGATGACACGTCGAATCACTGCCTGAACGAGTGGAGCCCATGATGTGATGCCGGGCCTGGACTGGGCCATGGATGCCCGGGGTATTGGCCGCGCTAACATCCGCTCTAGCAGGGGTCTTTTGCCGCCCACAAAGTACCATACCATACATACAGCGGGCGGGTTTCTATTCTTTCCAATTCCTACGCATACCCGTACTGGTATGAAACCCCCCGTCTCGTTACATTGCTGCAACTACCCGGTCAAGTACCCTCCGTCTGAAAGTTGAGACACCTCCAGGTAGATTAAACACACACTATTGTACTCCCCCAACTGCCCTAGTTATAACATGGATTCTCGCTTCTTCTCTCCCCCAATCTGCTGGCTATGCTTGCCATGAAAGAGATCCTTTTAAAACCCTGTGACACTCCCAGTCAGACATTTAGGCTACCACCACCACCACATTGCACTGCCCACCGATGCCAATTCGCTCATGACAACTCGTAGTTCCATGGATCTGTTCCTCAACCACCCGATTTTAGGTTCACTACACATGGGCATTGTTCCCTTCCCACTATCTGGCTCTTGCTCGCTCTCGCACCGTCTGTCTTATCACTCCTTTTCCACCAGCAGATCAGACCCGGGATCGGCGGTTGAGCAAGGCTCGTTACATCATCCACTCGCGTCCTCGTCTGCCTATCATCTCCACCAGCCACAGCATAGCTTGCGATTGAGTTCACGCCAGCACTGCTTCATGGCACGCTTGCTCGTTGGTTCTCCACCCCCAGACGCCCCCTAAGGTATTCCTGCCAGAGGAGGGGCACTCAATACGAAGTTGCTCCCACAATAAGGGGTCTACCACAATGCCACCGCCTATATCACAGAGGTTTATGCCTGAGGCCGACAGCTTCCATCACTCTCGCATCCAACATGGCCTGTCGCTTTATCCTCATTGCTGGGTTGCCGTTGACTAGCATCGCAATGACCGACAGAGGAAGCTGATTTTCAACCCTGCCTTCCAAGCGCTCAAGCGGTCGACTGTCCTAGAAAAATGTGCTGGCAGTAGGCTTCCCATATTCTTTCCTGGAGAATCATGCTGACGGCTTAGAGGCTCGAGGCGTTGGGTGCTCCCGGTTTATAACCACGGTAATCTCTTGGCCTCAGGTGCCTCTGCCGTCGGGACACCCGAGAATCTCACCTCTCCTCGGACCTCATTGTCCCGAGGCATGGAATTTCCGAGTCATCTTCCAAAGGGGATGGTTTTGAACTTGTTGATCCTCATCTGAGCGGGAGGGGGCCGTTATTCGGATGTTTCTAAGGTGCCGACTGCAGAAAAGATTCCCTAAGCCTATTACCCCACACCCCGCACTACGCTCAAATTAATTCGTCATGCGGGAATATTTGCGCGCCGGTGTCTACTGTTTGTAGCTAGTGAAGACAATCTTCATGGCTCATTTAACCGGCGCTCGCTGTTATTGCTGTATTCGATCTTTAGGTCAAATGACGGACGAGCTTGGCCATATTGAGCTCCTCGGATGGCCCGACTTGGGACCTTGGCTTCCCTCGTCGTCGAATAACCTTTTGGCTCAGTGCTAAGCATCCTTCAACTCAGAACTAGCTAAAGAATGGCTCGTCGGGTTATCCAGATATCTCGGTCCGGGACAGAGGCCATGTGCCGGCAGCACAAGCATGGACGAGATATAAGAAGTGCTGGAACTATGCCGACAAACGAAGTCAAAGCACCGGTCCACATCATCTATCTCCTTGAGACTCGCTCCCAATGTACAATCTACTAGGGTTCCTCGCTGCGCTGGGCTGCGCGCAGACCGCCCTCGCAGCCCCCTTCGCCAGCCCCCCAAACTCTTCTTACATCGACTGGCGCACCTTTAAAGGCAACGGCGTCAATCTCGGCGGCTGGCTCGTGCAAGAGTCCACAATAGACAGTTACTTCTGGGACACATATTCCGGCGGCGCCTCCGACGAATGGGGTCTCTGCGAACACCTCGGCGCCCAATGCGGCCCTGTCCTCGAGCATCGCTACGCGACCTGGATCACCAAGGCCGACATCGACAAGCTCGCGTCCGCCGGTATCACAGTGCTGCGCATCCCCACAACCTACGCCGCATGGATCGACCTCCCCAGCTCGCAACTCTACTCCGGTAACCAAACGGCCTACCTCCGAGAAATCGCCGACTACGCCATCAGCACCTACAACATGCACATCGTGATCGACACACACTCCCTCCCCGGGGGCGTGAACGGCCTAACCATCGGCGAAGCCACCGGCCACTGGTACTGGTTCTACAACGAGACCAACTTCAACTACTCGTTGCAAGTGATCGATCAAGTGATCAACTTCATCCAAACCTCGGGATCCCCACAATCCTACACCCTCGAGCCCATCAGCGAACCCGCCGACAACAACACCAACATGGTTGTCTTCGGCACGCCCCTTGCCCTGACGGACCACGGCGCCGCCTGGGTGCTCAAGTACATCCGGGCCGTCATCCAAAGAGTTGCCTCGGTGAACCCCAATATCCCCGTCATGTTCCAAGGTAGCTTCAAGTACCCGCAATACTGGGAGGGAGATTTCCCCGCGAGTACGAACCTCGTCTTCGACACGCATCACTATTACTACGAGCATATGGATTCCACGTCGGAGAATCTGCCCGAGTATATTCTTGCGGATGCCCGGGAGAAGTCCGGCACGGGCAAGTTCCCTGTGTTTGTGGGCGAGTGGGCTATTCAGGCTACGTACAATAATACGTTTGCGCTGAGGAAGAGGAATGTTTTGGCGGGGTTGGATATTTGGCAGAGTTATTCCCAGGGGAGTGCGTATTGGACGGCCAAGTATACGGGAAATACGAGTGTGGATGGGCAGGGCGAGCAGAAGGATTATTGGTGTTATGAGACGTTCATTGACGATGGGTATTTTAGTTGAGCTGCAGCTGCAGCTGCAGTTGCTTGGTTGTATGATTGATTGATTGTGATATGTATATAGGTATGAACTATGAGGAGATGAGTGTGCTCATGAGTGGGTACTATTGATGAACTTTTAACAACAAACCCAGTAACAAACTAGTTAAAACACAGTCTAGACTCGTAGGAAAAGAATGCTCAATACTACTAACAAACAGCATGAAACAATACATATCATCTTCCTTCAATTTGCTCCCCAACAACTCATTCATTGACACAGTTATACCCAAGACGATTCTCACCCACAAAGATACAAACATAAACCAGCGACCAGCACCGATCAATGCCTTCCCCATCACACAAACACCCAATCCCCATACCCTCACCCTCGACACTCACACAGACAAAAACCAATAGAATAGAAAAATCACTCCACCATCCTGAGCACGAAATTCACCACGACGGCCGCCAAAAGCGCCATAGCGAGGATCGTCGGCCCGAAGCGATCATCAATTCCACTCTGGCCTCGTTTGCGAATACTCTGCGCGCGCCAGTGGAAGGTCACCAGCGCATAGATCATCGCGGCCATGGCGATGATGGTGAACAGACCGGCGGAGATGCGGCCAATGCGGTCACCGAAGTTCAGCAGACCGACGGCGAGACCGCCTAGGATGACGGTGAAGTTCAGCCATGAGAGGAAGGTGCGCTCGTTGGCGAAGAAGACTTTGGGTTCGACACGTGTGGGGAGGGCGATTCTTTTTCCTGTTCGGTGTTAGGATTTGGGTTGAAGGGGGTGGGGGATTGTGGAGGGAGGGAGGGATTACCTGGGGCGGTTTGGAGGAGTGGTTGGGAGGACATTTTTAATTGTGAGGTAAGGTGGTGTGGTTGTGAGAGGATAGTAGCAAGGGAGGAGAAGAAGGAGGAGGAGGAGGAGGAGGAGGAGGAGGAGGAGGAGAGGGGATGAGAAGGGAGATTGTAGTGCAGGTAACTAAGCTAGTTGGAGAGCTGCAGCAGGTCGTGTGACTTGTTTCTTTTCTTGTCTGGGAGAGAAAAAGATAAGAGAGTAGGAGATAGGTAGAAGACAGAGAGTGGGAAGGGTAAAAAAGAAAAGAGAGAGAGAGAGGCAGAAAGAGAAGAGAATTCTGCACGGAGTAACTAGTTGCAGTGGTGGTGATAAGAAGACGCCAAACTAACGTTAGATTAGTTCCAAGTTGAGTTAGTTCTCTAAAGGAGAGAGAGAGAGACAAGAGGGAAGAGAGATTTAAGCTCCGGGGGGGATTGATGTAATAGCCATGATTGGTACTGGACAGTAAAAAAACACCACTGGATCGAGACGAGCTGCTCAACTTTCCCCGCTTGACGCCCGACACTTTGTCTGCTTCGGGTTTAGTGTAACGCGCCGCGGCTGTTTCTGCCGTGCTTCACCGCCGGGTAGCGCGCACGTGCCGCAACGTGTTGTTGTGATTGCCCGGTTGGACCCGCCGGTGCCGATTGGTCTTGGGGTCTACTTTACTACTAGTATGAATGTATGATAGCTTGCGGTTAAGGGGGGAACTGAATTCCTAGGACAACAGACAAGAGAGATTATGGATCTACCGTGCAGCGGAATTCTTTTCCCGTAGCATTCTCTCGACTTGCTCAGCCTGATGCAGTGGGTTGTCAGAATCTAGTGCGGTGGAGTGTGCAGCGGTTAGGAACCGTTTACATGCAATATAGTCCCTGTTGGCTATCACAGCTGTAAGGGACGGCATGGTGTATGTGCGTCGAGAGTGGGAGACCTAACTTTGCCTGAGTGTACCTAAGCATTCGTGGGTTTCCGGGGCCGTAGGAGCTGCGGGTGCTGATGACATTATTGACTTTGTTGGTAACAATCACCTCGAACGTGAATGCTTGAGGTCTTTCAGCATCTGTGTGAAAAGGTAGAGATTTATATCAAGCAAAGGAGAGGTCTTTTGAGGATTCTTGGCTAGTCAATGAGAGCTTAACTTGGTAGGCCTGTATACAGTGCTTGAGAACTATCAAAACACTGTGAAGGGTGATCTGTAAAGAACGCGCTTTGGCTGCTCAAAAATTAACTGGTTTATCTGTGTTTTCTAGAATCTCACTAAAGTTAACATGTCTGTAAGTCATGAAGCGTATTAATTGCAGTGGTTTGATCAAATTGAGCCTAATGTGTGAAAAAGGGTGCAAAGTTCACTGGTGCCGCAAATGAATAGACCAACAGTTATTCATTCTCCACCATTGTGAGTACCAAGCACGAACATTCCCCGTGATTTTGAGGCATCATGCTTCCCAGTATGTGAACTACTTCACTTGAACTCGCATTTAACTGTGGCCAAAGAGATCGGTGGCTAGTTTGAAGATTGGCTAGACTTTTTTAACTTCAATTCCTCCTAGATGGGGTACGTGTACAACTGAAAGTGTACTGGGGTGATGGCTAGTTTAGGTGAGTGATATTGTAGAATAAGATATAGTGTGAAATTGCATTTTACCTCTATTGACAGAGCTTTCATGTAAATGAAGTATTTCGAGCAAGGGTCGACGTAATTGGAGTAAAAAGGTCGAGTTGGAGTAGGAATGTCGCGTTGGAGTAGGGCTGCTGTTGGAGTCGGTTACAGCTTGAGTGGTTGGAGTAGATATTCATGCTGCGTGCAGCATTATACACCTATCTTAACTTCCAGATACATTATTAACTACCCAGGTTATGCGTTAAAAAAAAAAAAAATAAAAAAAAAAAAAAAAAATAAAATTTGGCGCGTTCGGGTTAGAGAAAAGATCTATGGGTGTGGGTGTGATTCGGGTCTTGTTGAACGTCAGGATCCATATCCATCCATACAGCAGCATGGTCTCCCATCTTTACTGGCAACCTTGATTCCATATAGGCAAATGAGCAGGACCAGAGAGCTATTAGTGGGGTCAGGAATATGTTGGCAACTGACTGGCATCAGTGCTTAGATTACGCACGATACATCCAGTAAAGCATTCCTTCTATTATGCTATGTCCAGCTACACAATGACTTTCTTCTACCTAATAACCACGATATTATTGTTATATAGTTACTCCCACTGATATCATTGAGAGTACTAGGGACCCCCCTTGAAAAAATTACGATCCGATGATACTTATCAATACTATCACCGGCTCCAATTGATGTCTCCAATTGTCACTGCGCAGGATACCAAGTTCGCAGCTCCATTAAACGTTTTCAGAAACAAGACAGTGGAGAACCTAGTTAGAGGGCATTATTAAGCCCTGCCATAGTAGTAGATTAATAAGCCAAAGTATCATTTGAACAATATTTCGATTATAAAAGGCACATACCCTCTATCCAAAATTCATCAACATGCAATCATTTCTAAAAAGGTCTCTATCCACAATGACCAAACCTCTACTCCTCCACGCCCACGCCACGGGCCCCAATCCCATCAAGATCGCAATCGCTCTCGAAGCCCTTAAAGTTCCCTACGACGTCCAACATTGGGAATTTGGCGACGACCCCAAAAAAGGCGTCAAAGGCGAGGCATACTTGAAGATCAACGAAAATGGTCGACTCCCCTCCCTCCAGGACCCGAACACGGGCGTCGTGGCCTGGGAATCCGGCGCATGCATGAACTATATCCGCCGAGTGTATGACCACGAAGGGAAGCTAGGTCCTGCCGGTAAGGAAGAGCAGGATATTGTCGACTTGGAGAAATGGGAGTATTTCCTACTCACCAATTTGGCGCCGATGTTGGGTCAGGTTAATTGGTTCAGGTATTTCTGCCTACCTACTTGGTTGACAAGATTTCACAATCAAATTCGAGATATGCTAACATCACGTCAAGGAATTACCATGAAGTGAAGAACCAGGATGCGCTGGATAGGTATTCAGCGCAGGTCTATCGCTGCTTCGGGGTGTTGGAGGGGCAGGTGAAGAAATCGAATGGAGAGAGTATTCTGCCCGAAAAGATTACCGCCGTGGATTATCATGCGGAACCCTGGGTTAGACAGTATAGTTTTGCGGGCCTGTCTTTGGATTCCTATCCCCTGCTTCAGCGTTGGCTGGCTGGGATGGCTAAGCTGGAGGAGGTGAAAAGAGCTTATGTGAAGATTAAGGGACAGGGCCCGGAGTAGACTCAGGGTTCAGTGGTTGACTGCATTTATCATAGCTAAAGAGATACGTTAATATTGGGGGAACAAGCTTTCAATAGTTACGATAACAGTATGTAAAACCAATTACTCAACAGGCCAAGCACTTTATAGTGTATATATAGTATTAAGTATGTATAGCAGCGATACAGTATACATCAAACATCGCAATCCCAGGGTATCACTCAAATATTACTGTCAAAACCCATCATATCACCTCCTAGAATTCAACAACCCCATAAAGACGTGTAACATCCTCACACAGCCTTTCAAGACTGAACTCCTTATAATAATCCCTTGAGCCCACCGGCAGCCTCTGTAAAAGGGACAATTTGATGGTCAGTTCAATCAGCTGAATTATCTCCGAGATCTTCTGCGGAGTGGTGTTTGGTTGATATGCATCTCGATAAGGCTCTAAAAGGTCTTCAATCTCGGACCTGTCGCAGACCTTGTTGCACATATCGAACCGTTGCTCGAGAAGCGGAAAGAGTTCGTCTTTCTCGATTGAGTACATCTTGTCTCGTTGTTTGAGATATTCCTTCCTGCGGGTGACTTGTTCTTTACTCAGGGCGGGTGGCATGTTGAAGACTGTAGGTTGCTAGTGGGCTGTTTGAGGAGGTGGGGAATGGATATGTCTGTGTGCTCGGTAGGGCTTTAGTTGTGGTTGCTGTATCTTTGCTGGGTTGCAAGGTTCGATTAGATACTCAAGAAATTGACCTCTACCTCCATGTCTATATAGACTACCACGATAGGTATCGAAACAAAGAACCTGGTGAAATAAGACATGCATTTTATTGGCGTTGTTCAGCCAAGGTTTGCTGTGGTGAAAGTACCACTCGTTGCCTTCACGATAATGTAGATATTCAAGGCAACTAATCGCATCGTAATGTCAAGTAATATAGAGTATCGAAAGGTGCTCCGCTTAACGGTGATTCACGGAATCATGTAACGGGGCCATATCGAAAGTGAATATGCTCATCTCGACATGTATGTATAGCAGAGATGAAAGTTGGAACTTAATTTACGGTTCGTCCCAAGCATTGTGGGCAGATTCATGGCAACATCCTCCACAGAATACCAAGTATTGTTAGTCAATGGTTCAATTGAACAAAGGATTTTAAGGACATAAAGAAGCCTTTCAGAACGACACGGAGTTTATACAATTCCATCCAAGAAAACAAACATAATCTCAGTGCTCCAGCCGAGTACACAACGTGACTCTGGAATCAGAACAGATACTATAGTAAGTTTGATATGTTCATTGGGTGGGAGGTTACGTTGCTCAATAACGCTAACCACCACAGCATAGTGTATATACAACCCGTAGTATCCAAGGTACGAGCCACACTCCAAAGCCAAGATTCAGCTATCCATAGGCAACTTCCGCTTCAATTCCAGCGCAATCCTTGCTTAATGCCAGAGAACAAATTGACAATTTGAAACCCCTCCATGGCTTGTTGGCCATGTCACATAAATAGGGACTGGTCGTCTCCGTATCCAATCTGTCTGACCCTGACCTAGGACTCTCCACTCATCTTCTACTCCTGAGAAATTCCAATCAATTCACACCATGTCCGATACATACACCGGCTATGATGAGTGCGGATGCAGTTTGGCGGAGCAATCGATGCGCCGGCATTACAACCCCATACGATTTATCCGCGGCTCGCGAGCAGGAGGCGTATGGGCAATCGGCACCGATTTGATTTTGAAAGCACACCCCAAATTCGAAGAATCTCTGGAAAACGAACGTCAAGCGCTGCATCTACTTGTATCTCATCCTCATATCCCAGCACCAAAAGCTGACCGTAACTGGGTCGATCAAAATGGGAACCACTTCTCGATGCAGACACAACTGGACGGTGAGACACTCGAGAATGCCTGGCCGCGGTTGTCCAAGGACCAAAAGGCCACTATCGCAGATCAGGTGGCCGACGTGTGCAAGCAACTGCAGTCTATCACTTCGCCGAGTATACAAGGCATTGATGGAGGAGCCTGTCCATTAGATATGATATTTGATGATGGTAAGCTCCAGGGACCTTTCCAATCTGACTCTGAGTTTCGGGATGCCATCAGCCGTGAACTATCGTCTTCAGCATTATCGGACAAAAAGGATGAATTGATGAAGCGTTTCCCTGAATGCGGCCCTTATGTCCTTACGCATGGCGACCTTAATATCTCCAATATTATGGTCAAATACGGGCAGCTCGTTGGGATCATTGATTGGGAGTTTGCGGCTTATTATCCCATATGGTATGAGTATCTTGGAATTGCCTGTGATTCTACCGGTAAGGACGCTGAATGGAGAGAGTTGTTGCGACAGCGTGTGGATAGTCATGAAGATGCCAAAAGTTTCCTGAAGGACCTGCGTAATTTGCAATGGTATAATCGCTTGGGGGACTGAGGGAAAGTATTCGATGGATTGTATGCAAAGTCTCGATGGATAGTCTTTCTATACTCCGTATAATTTGCTAAGGAAGCTGGAAGCAATACTGATCCGATGGATAAAATGATAGTTTGCATGATAAATAAGGAGCACAAGTGACTCTACAGCACCTGGAATAGAGTATCAGTATGTAGTCAATCGTAGGCTTGAAACATTAGCCTTCTCCAGCAAGAGTATCTGCAGGGTGAATAATGTATCTCAATGGTAGGACGCAGAAGGCTGGAGTTTAATTCAATTGTATAGTCTGGCTATTGTACGGAGTAGGCAGATGGCAGCTGATGAGCTAATCCCAACCAAGTAATCAGCTAGTCCGGTCTTGGATCGGACACTAACCCCTCCCAGCCTAGCTTTGTATCCAACCCGGCCAATCAAGAAGCGTAAAACGACAGCCATGATGCCAGTCGACGGCGAGCCCCCAAACATTCATCCTTCAGCACCAGCCCGCTAGCTGTTCTTTCGCTGCTGTCGCACTCGCCTTGACACTTCCGCGCATACCAGCATAGCATAGCATCTTGCATTGAGTGAGTGGCCATCTTATCCGTCAATTCCATCAGCCCGTGTTGCTTGGTTCGCCGGCCCCGGAGCCGCATTGTCTGTCCATCCCCCCACAATCGCATCTCCAGCATCCCATGGTTATCACTCTTTCCCGACGAACATCCCCTATCTACAACCAGACCCGCGCGAAATTAACTGACAGCTAGCCTTCAAGTCTCACGCAAAACATATCTTACACCAAATCCAACTCTTTCATTCACAATGGCCGTCGACGCTGCTGCCCCCTCTTCGGTGTGTCACCACCCTCCCCGTGCAATGATCGTACCTGGATAGCCCGCAATCCGAACGTCATCCGACCCCTCTCGCGTACCTATCCAGACGGACAACTCGTTACAATATACTTACTATTCGACTCGCATAGCCCGTTCCGATCCCCGAATTGACCAAGATCGCCACCGAGGTGCGTTCACCCTTACTTTCACATTCATGGCCTCCCACTTCCACCGACAACCCACTACTCCCCCCGAATCAAGGCTAACCACCAATTCTCCCCCCAATATAGGCCTGCGACACCGCCCTCAAAGATGTGACTGAGTACGAACACACCAAAGTCGGCGACTGGAACTCTCAGATCATTGTACCTACTCCCCCCACCCCCACAACTACCCCCTCCAACATCAATCTAACCACTCAATCGAATCCAATAGAACACCATCCTGAAAGCCCTCATCACTGCCACCGCCCCCTCTACTCCCTCGACCGCCCCTCCCTACCGCTTCACTGTGAACAGCACCATCGTTCAACAAGGCCTCATCGACAAGTCCGCCGCCGCTGACGGCGCGACCAGCAACACCGGCAAGCGCGGGATGCACTCTGCGTCCGGAGCTTTCTGGGATGTGAACCGCGATGGTATGTGGACGTTCAAGTATCCTGGCGCTGAGGAACGGGGTCTGGACGTTGTTGTTAGTGTGACGTGGTTTGCGCTGGGTTAGGAGGGTTATTGGTTTTTCTATGTTTCTTGCTGGAGATGAATGGGTTGGGGATTTTCTTTCCATATAGAGTAATGAATTGAAGGGGAGTTTTCTGAAGCCTTTTGGTTATTTTGTTCTTCTTTTTCTATGTGGTTGGTTTGTTGTATGGAATGAAGGGAGGTATTTGATGCGATTTGGTGGGTGGCTTTCTGTTTCGGGGTTTCTCGCTCCTTGGATTGTGTGTAGTAAGTAACCAGCTGGTGTCAAGTTGTTTGTATGGGATGGGTGGACTTTGTCATTCTAATTGATATTTCGTATATACTACAAGTTGCCGGAAACCCACCAGCAGTCTACGGACAGAAGTACAAATAGGAAGAGTATCTTCCCCCAAGTGGAATAAAGGTACTTGGTAGAATCTAGTGTATGGCTTACTTGTTGGGTCTATACTAGTACTTACATGCTTCTACGTACCCCTTGGCATATCTTTTGTTACAGTATATAGAGCATTATCAACCCATAGATAAGAATAAGTAATCACATGAAAACGGTATAGTATCATAGGAAAAATACATTCATCTCCGCATTAGGCGCGACCCCGTTCTTTCATTACATTGTGAAAAACTACATTCAATCAAAGTTGCACACCTCCAATTATGCGAGAGTCCCTAAGCCAATACTTGCACAGAGTACTTAGTCGCCATAATCCCAAATCTACACTTATTGCAGCTACTGCCCACAGTTGATTGGTTGATCCCGGAATTTCAATAGTACTGTAGTAGTACTACTACTCAAGTAGTTAGATAACGTAACTCCCGGCCGCACCGGTCACCCCTAGCACACCGCCCTAGAATCATTGTACTACTCATTGCTAATTCACATCCTTTGATAGAAAGAGTGGTTGCATGTAGAAACGCGTTGGGCGGTGTACTGGGTGGCCGGTGCGGCCGGGAGTTACGTTATTAGCTAACTTTGATAGAATAAGTTCAACTAATAAAAATAAGATTCCCTAATAAAAAGTCCCTATAAATTCCTAATGAAAATAAATCCCTTATAACCACTTTAACTATCCTAATAACCCCCATACACACTAAATTCCCCCATTGAGCTCGAAATGGTAGACAATCAGATTGTAGTTTTGAGAAAGTTGATCGGCTTTCAGATACCTTTTCTTTTTAAGCAGGTTGTGATATATATTCTGTTTGACAATACGTAGAGTTCAGATAGAAAGCTCCAAAACATCAAGTTTCCCCACCAAAATCACCCGTTTCGAAACCGCTCTGCGAGAAATTTCATGCCTTAATGCTGAAGGAGGCTGTATATCACTAGATCTATCTGAAAAAAAATATAGCCCCTGGTGGGACCCACAACCTTAAGATGACAAAGTAGAAGTCTTACGCGCTACCGATTGCGCCACAAGGGCCTCCTTGGTGAATGACCGGTTTACTTTTACGATACTCTAGCTCGCACTAACTGCAATCAATGCCAGAGATCAGATAACAGAAAAGGTTAGGTGGGAAAAGCCTCCACGTATATAAAAGACATGAAGGAAATTTGTAAAACAAGTGATCTTTCCAGATATCTTTAATTGAGTAAAATATCATGCTCAACGACACCATAAGTATTGTTACGTCTTGTAATTCGGCCGATAGAGCTGAGTTGAAATGGTACTGCCAATCGCCATGATATATTTTCAATCCATACACGTCAGTAACTTATCCGTGAAATCAATCCTACAGAATACTACTAACCACGATTCTAGTCAATCCGTAGCTCAATGGTTAACATACAAGATAGAAGGGCATAATATTCGGGGAGGGATAACAATGCTAAGTGGAGTCAATCTAGGCGAATGCCTGCTATTCCAACTCCATATCAATACTTTGGCCACATGAGTGTTTACTAGGTTAGACCTATATTCGACTATTCCTAGACCACTTGTTCTCGCTACTACTTACTTTAACCCTAAGAGTGTTTCTATTCGATCCGAGTATCCGAGTTTCAAATTCTAGTAACCTTGATATCACTTTGAATCAAGACTGCCAGCATCTTCCAAAGATAGTAGTTCTTATTATTGGAAAATCATCTTAGAAGTAATCTCGATCATATGAAGTAATAACTGCACATTAAACAGTCACATAAGAAAGTCTTACCTTTGTCGCCTCGTGCTCCCATAGAATAGCACTATATTCAAAGGGCTGAGCCCGAATTATTATTGTTATCCTTTTATTCAATTTTATTTCTATATTTATTTTCTTTATTTTACTATTTTTTTCGTGCAAGACGCACACAGGAGCGGGATAGGTATCCCCTCCTGTATGATGGCGGTTAATAGCGGCTTGGTGTTACTACTAGTTACTACCAGCAGAATATATACAGAGCTTGAAGCATCTCCTCAAACAGCCACCCATACAGGTATCTAAACAAGCATCTAAATAACTAAATAATCTTCCAAACAGCTATTCAAACAGCCATCCAAACAGCTATCCAAGTAGTTGTGATAATTTCAAACAGCTCTCTCAGCAGCCATACAAACTGCTATGTAAATGATCATCTAAACAGAGTTCCCAAGCAGTCTTCTGAATAACTTCTTGAACAGCTCTCTAAACCGACCTTATTGATAACCTTGCAGACGTCCGAAATTAGGGTTAAACATCAGGAAAAAGATTCATGAAGAAGTTTAAATAATTAAGGTATATGATTTCGAACTGTTTGAAAAGCCGTTTGACCTAAAGATACCTTGTTTAGATGGCAGTTTGAGTGGCCAGTTGGGTGGCGGTCCCAAGTATCACGTAGATATTACTTCGAATGTTGTACATAGAGCGGTATTCGCCTGATGGCCGCTATTAATCGCCGCACTCCCGAGACGTTGTAACACACTCCTAGTGACGCTTCACAAGGTTTCTAGAGTGTTCAAGTTTCACCGGGCATCTCATCTCAGACCACCCAAATTAGTGGCGTGCCTTTTTGAGCCTACTTGTTTGTCTCCCTAGCAAAGATTGGTGGGCCCGACTTGTTAGTACATTCCCAGGATCTTAAAATCTTGACTCTTATTACTGAAATCACATAGGCAACACCAGGAAACAACACGCACGTCGCTCTGCGTCCACATCTTCCAAGGAGACCAAAAAGTGATGGGGACAAACCCAAAGAAAGTTCGCATCCTAGTCGAAGAGTCACTGAAAGAGTGAGAGTCCATAAACCTTTCAACGTGGAACAATATCAAGAAATGGGAGACTTCGTTCACAAGTGTCTGTGCGAGCGCGAAACAAATTACGAGGGCCAATTATCCCAACTGCATGCCGAGTCATCGCGATCTCGAGACGAGACAAGGCACTCTATCAACACTGACCAAGGAGGAGATGATGTGCCATCCGCTGATCCAGAGTCTATTACAGCATTGAAATACTTTTCGCAGCCACAGGGTCAAGAGTCTCAGGCGGATGCAGCAGGAAGGCAAAGTCTAGCTGAGACAGAGAACGGGGACTACGAAGCTTCCACAAGTATCCTTCAAAGCCTTACAGCTAAGGTTATAAGTGAAGGATTTCTTGACCCTGTGGATGGCACTGCTGTACAGTCTGCTATCCCTGAAATCAGTGATAAAAAGCGGCAGAGTGTGAAAAATACTATGTGGCAAAGCACAGACATCCGAAATACTGAATATAGCTATCAGCTGAAAGAACAGGTCAGGCGCCACATCTATATCTACTATTGTGAGATTATATTCCCGCATGATATGGATATCAGGGATAACAAGATCTTTATAAAAATAGAGCTCTGTCCTTTGGAAGAAACACATACAAATCTATATGCAATTTCAAGCTCTGAAAATCATGATGATCCGGCCCTCCGTCTGGCCTTCCGGGTTAGATACCATGATTCCTTTGGTCGTGAAGTGATATACTATGCAACAAATTCAGGTGGTGGTGTGGTATTCAAGGCAAACACCTTGGTGGATGTTCTGGAGAAAAAATCATTAGAGGAGATAGCTCAGATCCCCAGACGGCATATCTATATCGGTACTGGAAATGATGCTCATCCCGAACTTGAACGGTTTAGGAATGGGTCATATACCAGTAAACTGCCTTGACAGTCGCCGAAAGCTTTATGTATGTAGAGAATGGTGATGGATGACTAGAAACAATTACAACCATAAAATCGGTCATACAATGAACTCATGCATATACGGATATCGGAACCAGGATAACTCGCTAACATCCAATGACACAACACAGAAAATCAAGCAAAACCTGAACTCCAATGCAGTAGGCGATTCGCCTTCGTGCCACCACCCCAAAACCAGGCACCATGCTGACCATTAGCCCTGAACCATACAAGACAACTGAAAGAAAAGAAGGTTGAAAGACGCATACATCTGCCTCTAGGCAGCCTCATAATGTAAGACACAACTCTCAACGCGGCTCGGAATAGTCGTTCAGCGCTACGCATACCGCCCCGCGGTGATGACCACTGTATTGACGGATGATCTGACCCGAAGCCAGCTCCCATAGGCGGGCGTAGTGGTCGCTGGATACTGTGACGAGATACGCAGAGTCAGCGGAGAAAGCGCAATCCCAGACCCACCGTTGGTGATTTGCAAGCGTGGTCTCTAGGAAAAGTGTTCCTGTCGCGGAGTCCATGGGGGGTCCGTCCGGTTGTACAGGGAAAGTCTGCTGAGGTTCGTTGTTTATAGGTGTCGCTGCTTGGAAGAGACTGAAAGGGTTGGCTTCAAAGTCAGTGCCGTTGGGGGATGCGTGATTCGCGTGTTGCGTAGATTCCGGGGAAGAAGGGCTGTCATTCGATTCGGGTGAAGAGATGGCTCTGGCCTTGGCCTTGGCGGCATTGGCGGCGGCAATCTTGGCCGGCGGATAATCAAGGTCAAGGTTCCATACTTTGGCCGTGTGGTCTGCGGAGCACGTTGCGAGATGCTTGACATCAGGGGAGAGAAGAACGCGAGTGAGGTAGTCCTTGTGCGCCTGGAAGGTACATATCGGAACGATGCGCGTTATCTCGGCGTCTTGGATCATGCGCCAGATGTAGACATTACCCTATAGGCCGGTCGCTCAAAGTCAGTGATGAAGACAAGCGGCGAGTAATTGTCTTTTTCACCTTTTTATTTCCAGCGCAGAGCAGGGATCCATCACTTGCGACGCTAACACTATGGACAGCAACGTCGTCCTCAGGAATCAGCTGGTGAGTGCAGACGCTTTCACCCAGGTCCCAAACCCGGACAATACCAGCGCGATCCCCACTAATGAGCTCGCCCTGGTTGGGGTGGATTACAACGTCGTTGACTGGAGCTTTATGCGCGTAGTTGCGCTGCAGGCTGCCTGTACGGGTATCCCAGACTTTAACCGTACCATCTTCCGAGCTGGTGACCATCCACTTTCCCTCGCAGTGAAAAGCGACGCCAGTGATGTTGTTTGTATGGCCGTCGAAGGTCATGACCGGATTGGGATTGGTAGATTTGATGTCATACAGCTTGACATTATTGTGGCCGGCGGCAGCCAAGTACCGTTTATCGGGGGTGATGCATAAGCGATTAACTTGGGAATCAGGATGCTGTATAGTGCGCGAGCAAATCCCCGACAAGGCCTCCCAGAAACTGGGCCAAGTTAGCGACGTCAACTTTCGAGCGCAAGTAACACAGTCTGACATACCGAATGGTGTGGTCGTAGCCCGCTGTAAATCACGAGTTATAGAACGTTGGTCAGTCAATTATTCCCAGGAAAGACACAAAAAATTGGAGACCGATTATCGCTCAGAAATCTGCATACCAGTGCAAAGTATAACGCTCATGTTGAAGGTTGTAGACGAGCCCAGAAGCAAGGACGCTGAAAAGGCGAGGAGGGACGGGGAATCGGGGAGTCGCCAGTTACTAAAGTAAAGGAAGATGGGGTGCCCATCAGCTTCCTGCCGGCCTTAAAGCCACGGCCGCCCAGCTTGGCGGCGGACACTATGTGGGGCACGTGAGCGGTCCACAGGGCGGTGTGAAAGGCGGAGAACATCATCTCGGATTAAATTTGGACGGAATGGGAATCTTTTCTACTGCGATGTACTTCTTTGCTTCTTTACTCTGAGTGACTGAGCTGACCTGGCCTTTTCTGGTCATTCTCACTCGTTCGGGGATTATATCGAGCACCCTGGACACGTGTGGCATCTCGTTTTCCCCAAGATTGGCCAAACTGTACAGTTGTTGCACTCAAACCGGATTATGCAATAGGGCGCGTATCCAGTGGCTAGCCTGAGCCTGCTGACAGGCTATCTATTTGAGGCACCTGCTGGCTCTCCCTGTTATCTACTTCCCGTACATCTTTCCCGCGGGACAAGTCTCAAATCACAGTCATTTTGGGATCTGAATACTTGCTCTCAAGAGGTACGCTTCACAGCAGTCTCGAAGCGAGGGATATCCTCATTCTTACCATCTGCAGAGCTGGGCTATGAGTAGATGGAGCGCTTCATCTCCTAAGTGCCATCGCCACCTTCCTTAGGAAATATTGAACGGCATAGCACGGTACACATTCATTTGGCCGTCTCCGAACTGGGCCTGAATTTGTCGCTGGGATGAATGGAAGCATGGCTGAAGGTATTTCTACCTCTTTCCAGACCTGTCCTCCAGACCCTCATGGTCTTCAAGATCTTGAGGGCCTTCCATCTCCCCCATCACTACCTCCTCTGCACGTGAATGATCTGGGGCTTACACCTCCCCCTGGGTCCCAGCTGCAGCTCTCCACCAAGTCCTCCCAACATGAAAAACGGAAACTGCCGACCAGAGATGTGAACGCGACGTCAGAAACCCCAGCCGACCCGCGACACTGCACACAACCGCTCGGGAATACCCACAAAGATCACAACGACGAGAAGCAGGTGGAAGTCAATGATGCATCCTCAGAAAAACAACCTCCGGCCGACAAGGTGGTTGAGCCCCGACAGTCGTGGGCAGATACCGCGACCTGTTCTCCACAATTAGAGATAGACTTTTCGGCATTTGACGATTCCAATAACGCCACAGAGGAGTTGTACGACCCTCTCTTCGATTCCGAACTTGTTCTGCAGGAGATTGATGCAGTCTTGCAGCGGAAGCGAAATGGCGACGAGGCGTTCCCTGAAGATTGTGTCTACTGGGACCAATCTAGAAAAAGGCAAGCCACAGAGATGTCGCAATATTCAACCACAGAGTCTCCGGATAAAACACCCTCGTTATTATCACTAGATTCTGGACAACCTGAACAAGGAGGCACGGGCCCTCATACGCCAAGCGATGTTGAGAAACGACAGTCCGATGCCGTCTTCGACTCTATAGACCTTCTGTTTGAAGATCATTTGGGCGATTTTCCATTGGACATCCCTGATGGCGAGGTTTCTTTTAACTTTGACATCCAGGGCGCGGGTAATGGTGAAGGAAACAAGGAAGACATGTCAGCGAATATTAGTGTGTTTGACCAATCCTTCGATCTGCCCTCCGTCAGCGAGATTACCAAGGAACGATTCTCCATTGATGATCAAGACATCGTCGACAGCACAAACCGCGAAGCTCTGCAGCGAGTGTTTGCCGAGCCAGAGTACGTCTCGCCGTATCCAGTCTATGGGGGCCCATTGGGATATATGCCGTCGGCTCCGAATATCCATGTCAGGTGCATCGAAGTTTCGGATGATCGGACAAACTTACGCCTTGCGACTCTGCGGAATAAGGTACAGCAGCTGACGCTGGAGCGCAACAAGTATAAACAGGAGTGGGCACTGGCGTCGGACCTGACGGCCATGGATCCGGCGACTGGTAAAACAAAACAACAGACACTACTTGAGCAGAATGCCATGCTGCGACGTGTGTGCTCCCGGCATCAACAAAGAGTCGAGCAGTACAAGCAAGAGGCTATCGAGTGGAAGAACAAGCTTCATGATCTCGGCACTATCTACAACAATTTACTATATGAGATTCAAGTTCAGAAGCAAATGCCTGCAGTTGCCCCGATTCCAACTGGATACAAACCTCCCCGGGCACGCCAGGCTAGCTCAAACGCAACCTCGTTACAACCGTCGACCTCACAGCCACAATCCATGGCTTCTACACCAAATGCATCTGCTGGGGAGCCTATCACAATCGACCTGACCGAAGAAACAGGCGATGACGGGTCAGCTGCAGCGAATCCAACCCCAGAAGAACAGGAAGAGCGTCAACGACGCGTGGAGATGCTTCAGTCACTGCGGAACAAGAAATACAGTTGGCTTGGTGATGCGGACGGAGACGTCGGCAATCAAAACCTCCGCCTCAGTGTAACCCCAGCGCCTCGACAAGGATCTCTAAAACCCGCGGGTGGGCCTCACGACTCCGAACGGAGCCGGAACGATCACGTACCAATAAGAGACATCAGCGAGATTGCGTCAGACGATCGGGTGGAGGACAACGACGATGACTTGGCTCGTATGATGGAGCAAGAGTTGGCTTCGCCGAGTGCCACGTCCAAGTCGCGTGATTCTGATCTACTTACGGCTCAGGTTGAGGATAGTCCGAAGAATGTTTCAAAATGATAGAGATCCATCTGATAAGGGGTAGTTGCGCGGCTCTTTCGCTCTTAGAGTTGTAAGCTGGTTCAGAAGTCCGCAATAAGTGAAATACATCTTTTAATAAGTGGAGAGTAGACCCGACGGGTAACTGTCAAAGAAAGAAAGGCACTTTTTTGGGGGAGGTGAGGAGAGAGATATGCGAGAAGAAAGTACACTCCAATTCTAGCTAACCTGATAGGTTAAACTTTGGTTGCCTATTTTCAACAAGTAGCCCTTGTGGCGCAATCGGTAGCGCGTAAGACTTCTACTTTGTCATCTTAAGGTTGTGGGTCCACCAGGGGCTTTCAATTTTTTTCAGTATATCTAGTGATATACAGCTTCCTTCACCATTAGGGCATGAAATCTCGCGCAGAGCGGCCCGAAAACGGGTGAATTTGGTGGGGAAAGATTGCAAAATCAGGTCAGACAAACTGTTTTTGCGCAGGTGGTCTGTATAGTCCACCTTAGGAATGCCTAAAGCCTTATTTTCAACGTTGCCTGCCCAGAGTAGGTATTGTTGCACCCCAGAGATTATATACATACCAACCACTGCTACGCAGTACGTACTTATACTAGTAGTAGTACAGTGTCCAGGCCAATGTAACGGATCAAACGACTCCAACGAGGGGAAATCGAACCCTCAAGTCAAGCATCACTGCAGCGTGCCTTCCCGATCGGAAGAACGCCTCCTAACCCCTCCGATCCGTACTTCGTCATCTTCCTTTGCTTTCAATTCCTACATGTATCTAGATAACACAAAAGATAACTTTATGATTGCCTTTTGCTCTTCCTTTTGCTTTATATCTCTTCAAACATAGATTGATACGAACGCCTCAGCCCGGGGCACGTACCAATTACTAATGAATGGAACACCGCTGAACATCGCCGATGCATGCCCCGTGTGGCATGGTCGAAGGATGGCGCTTAGTTAGTTTGGTAGACATTAATCATTTAACCTCGAAGACTCAAGACCGTCTTTGAGTAATAATAAGTGTTTTGGATGTTCTGCGAAGGACTTAGTAGATGATTTATGTTGGAACAGAGATCTCTCCGTCGCCTGGCTGACTAGCAGCGATATAAATCGTTTTTGGTCTAGCGGTTAGTGCTTCGACAATATACAGTATGGCTGTCTTTGCCATGTGATTGTTTGGAAGTATAAGTACTCCCTTAACTTATATGATTAGCACCACATCTAAAGCTACTTGCAAGGTTGATCATTAGCAACAAAAAATGTACTGCCTAAAATAGCCAGTATAAACCGATCGATAGAAGTGATTACAAAACAGTCGGAGGTAGGCCTCAGGCTACTGTGTGTGCGACTCTACTCGTGATGTCTTTATATGGGTTTCCAATAGACTCCCCGTCTGAAGTGCTAGCCGCCTGTTTTTTTTTTTTTTTTTTTTTTTTTTTTTTTTTTTTTTTTTTGCTTTCTTTTCTCTATCAGATCCACAACGCCCAAGAATAACCCTCCATGGGAAAATGGTTTCGTTTGCCTCCGGCACCCTATATTGACGTATCGAAGGTTGTCAAGTTGGCTGTCGCTGCCCCTCTCTAGTGCAGGTGTTTCTGGTCCTACTTGCATACTCAGATTGAATTCCACTCCACTTGTCTAGAGCCCAACAGTAAGTGGGGTAATTGGTGATTCAGAGTTGAATTGAGCTCCTATGTCAGTGTAGGCAGCAGGGCCGAGTACTGTAGACGTATATTATGGCGATCAGTAGTACCCTTTCTACTACTACCATCGCTCGAATTACACACTTCTATGATACCAAGACAGTACTGAGCACCCGAATGAATTACAGTTCTCAACTCAAATATATATCCTCTGGATTGAATTTTTAGCATACGCACGCTCGTAATAACGTAACAGAGTCGTAAAAATCGTAACCTATGCAAGCTGAATGGCATGCGCAGCGCCTTCCCAATGTATCAAAGAGGAAGCAAGGCAACCACAAGCTCAACTCAGACCCAAAACCGAATCCCGTCTAAGTTGAATATGCCCCGATCTATATCCATCGCGTCTATACAGCATAACCCGAACCAGAACGGGAAACCAAACAAGAAAGACGTACAGTATACATATCCAGATCAGTATATATTGGCGGGCCTCTGCGATGCTCACACCTTTATGTTCTATTTATCATCGTCGTACAGGCGAAATTCCTCATTCGGGGTATGAATCTCGGGGTATTGAATGCGAGGAGGAAAAGGGACCACAATCTGCGAGAGCATATGTGGTCCGGAATAGGGAGAAAACAGCTCACTCCGTAGTTGCGGGGCTGTGTGGATGCTCTTTCTCACGCACATCAGGGGAAGCGGTGCTGCTAGGGCTCGCAGTGCCGGCACTATTATGCTTGAGCTGCTTGCGGGTTTTGCGGCCACCACAGCAAGAGGCACAGCAGGAGCCAAGCTGGAGGATAAAGGCAATCAGGTTGAAGGCGGAGGCGACCCACATGAAAGCCATCATGCGCGTGCCGATCCAGGCGTCGATGTTGAGCTCTTCGCTGGCGGAGGTGAAGACGTTGCGGAAGATGATGAACATGACGGTTGCGACGACGGAGGCAACAACAGTGAAGAGAGCGGTCAAGAAGGTTAGGATGAGGAACGGAAGAGAACGGAGAAGCACAAAGGTGCGACGGCGATGTTGTGGGTGGGTTTGATTGACGACTGGGTCGGAGGAAAGGGCTTGAGGAGGCCGTGAGGAGACAGCAAGTGGAGATAGAAAGATGAGAATGAAGGTTAGAACGGTAGCGGTGATAAAGAGTCCAAACATCCAGTGTGAAGCTATGCGGGCGATGTGCAGAGCTGACGTGATGTCGGCAGGAAGAGCAACTGCAAGTTTGTTAGTGACGGTTCGTTCTCATACTAGAAGGAGGAGCGTACTCGTTGCGCCGGATAGCAGTTCACTGAGGATGATCTCGACAGGATTGAACCAGTAGAGGGGTTTGGGCGAAGAGCAGTGGGTGATGCCCTGGTCCTGATAACCTTCGCAAAAATTCCATAGTCCCACCTGGTAAAAGTCGTGCAGACCGATGGTGCGAGCAATGGTATCAATCAGGACCGCATTGGGGGTGGACAATGGGATGATATTCGCCAGGTTGATCTCAAGGAAGTAGGTCTGTCGGAGAACGGGCTTATCGGCGACACTGCCAATGCAGACCAAGATCAGGAAAATCCAAGCGATGAGATAGCAGAAGGAACGAAGGATACGATGCCAAAGCACCTTCGATCTGCTCCGGCCGACCTGCGGACGCGCAGGAGCTTTCCTGAACAGGGGCAGCTTTGCCATGGACCGCTGTCAAGCACGTGGTGGTGGAGAGGGCAGGTCCGGTATTTGCGGATAATAGAGTCGGAGAATAGACGAAGAGGATAGAGGAGAAGGTGGATGGAAATGATGTAGAAAGAGACCCAGATCAAGAGCAGGGCGTCTAGTTAAATTCTAATACGTAGTATAGAAGAGATTTGGAAAGACATCGACTGGATGACGTTTACGCCCCCCGTGAACCACGTGCCAGGATTCGATGGGGAGATAGAGAAGGGACCAGCGGGGAGGGAAACACCGGCAACCACGGGATTAGGTTGACGGGATCAGGAGAGGAAGCTGGGGATACATCCAGAAGAAGAGAACCAGAGAGTGTGGAAAAGAAAAAAAAAAAGGGGGGGGGGGGGGGGGGAGAGCGAGGAACAGGAAGAGATGGCGGGAATGGGGGGAAAAGAATAGGGAAAGGGAAAGCAAAGTGGATGGCGAGAGCGACGTATACACAGTACACAGATGGATGACTGAATATTACCGACTGATCTGATCTGCCGTGGAATTGAATTGGGCTTTAAGGTTGAAAAAAAGTTAGACGCCTTGGCAGCCAATTAGAATGAGAAAATATGGAATAAAATAAATGAGGAGTGGAAAAAAAAATCGAAACAATATTCACAATAATAATAAAAACAACAATGAGAATTTCACACGAGCCGTAACGCTGGCGGCTTCAATGATCTTACTCAGGGAGAAAGTCTCAGTCTCAGGGCCGCAGCAGGTATTCTTAGCAGCGGCGCTGGTCTAGACCCTGATGGGAACATTTTTGCGATGGTGGCAGGAACTTTCCTTGCCCTGCCTCTTTTTCCCTCCTGGGCGGCAGTCTGACTGTGGACGAGACAGTGGAGAAGGCCGATCATGAGCAGATTCCATCCTTGCTCTGAAGTAATCTGAAGTAAGTACAGCAATCACCCCCGTTGATCGAGGGGCTCTTACTGCGTGGACGCCGTTGACCAACACCAAAACCACCCCAGTTCGTGGCTGGTGATGGGCTGGAATACAGTGATGATTGGCATGAGTTAGCCGCTGATGGTTTTTCCCGATTACCCAATGCAGTGGGGATCGTGGCTGATCTGGCAATCCTCACGACATTCAGGAGCCACTTGCCAAGAAAGACTAGCAGTGACCCTCATAGGGCCTGGAATTAAAAGTCACTGCCTATTCTGGCGTTTCGGCAACAAATCGGTTCTGTCAGTGACTGTTTGGCCAAGACTGGCTCAAACAACGTCATCGACAGGTGGGCCCCACCCTTGGTGTCTTTTTCAATTCTGGCTGCCTGGGCTGATGAGATAATTTAATTGGCCGGAAGGACTGGGAGGATTTTCCATGCGGGCGATCTGCCAGTGAAAGCCAGGCTAAGATCGGCTGCTGGCCAGCTTGGAGCTTTCCTCTCCGGGACAGCGGGGCGGACAGTCAGGGGGGGTGGCAACCAATGGCTGCCGGGATCGGCCCCCCTAGAGAGTAAGTCAGTACCCTGAAGGCGGGAAACCCTGCGTGGTAACAATACCTGTTACCTACCTTACCTACCTAAAAATACCTTACCAGCCCAGCTGCCATGGTTGACTTCATCGTAAGACATCATTCCGCGCCCGGTGATTATTCTGCTTCTTCAGGGTCCTGATCCATCTGGTGCATCTGATCGCATCGTGTGGTCCTCTTCGGACAGATACACCGCTGTATATATATCCAAAACCTCCGAGCCTCCACAGACCGGCCTCTTGACTCCAGACCACCTCTTGTTATGCGGTTGATCGCTCACCTACTGCCGCTCCTGGCAGTGGGCGTTTGGCCATCTCTGGCACAAGATGATAGCACCACCACCACAACAACGACCGGCAACAATGGCGGTCTGACTCTCGAGGGGACCGTCACTTCGTCCATCAGTGAAGCGACGCTGCCCACAGGTCACTACCTCTCCTACACTACCACTATGACCCTCGACAATGGACATACCGTCACGAGCACCGGGGCGCACTCCGCGACAACCACCTCCAACTCTACAACAGCATCCGGAAATTTCACCACGACGGTGACTTCCTCGTCCCAATCTCTCACACTGCTGGTGGGCGGGCAGACTGGTGGAGTCAATGGCACCAACGCTACTACAACAGCGACGTCCACTGCATCGTCGACCCCGGTCGTCAACACACAGCCTTGCAATGGCCACGCGGAGTTTTGCGCGCGCAAGTACTCCAACATCACCATGGTTGCTGCCCACAACAGCCCGTTTGTCAAGCCAGGCAATGCGGCCGCCAACCAGGCGTTAGACGTTACCGCTCAGCTGGACGATGGCATACGGATGCGTAAGTTGCCCGATCGACGAAGCTTAGCCTGTGGATAGAATCTTGCTGACACCCCGGACAGTGCAATTTCAAACACACCTGGTCAACAACACCCTCTACCTCTGTCACACCAGCTGCGACCTTTTGAACATGGGACCTCTGGAAGACTACCTGACGACGGTCACGAAATGGGTGAAAACCCATCCATATGACGTGGTCACCATCTTGATAGGCAACTATGATTATGTAGACCCCGGCAACTTCACGGGTCCTATCCAGAACTCCGGTCTCATGGACTATGTGTTTACACCCTCGAAGATCCCGATGGCGCTGGATGATTGGCCTACGATGTCCAGTATGATTCTGTCTGGCAAGCGAGCCGTTGTCTTCATGGACTACCAGGCCAATCAGACGGCCTACCCGTGGCTCATGGATGAGTTTTCGCAGATGTGGGAGACGCCGTTTTCGCCCACGGATGCAGCCTTCCCTTGCACAGAGCAGCGCCCGCCGGACCTGTCCGCGCAGGATGCTAAAGACCGGATGTACATGGCCAACCACAACCTGAATCTCGACATTAATATTGCCAGCATTAGTCTGCTGATCCCCAACACTGCCTCGCTCAACCAGACCAATGCGGTCTCCGGCTACGGTAGTCTAGGAAAGATGGCCCGCAACTGCACGGGTAAGTAACAGCTGACTATGGTCTGTGTAACATGCTAATCTCGTTATCTCTTAGCTATGTGGGACCGGCCGCCTAACTTCCTTCTGGTGGATTACTACAATTACGGCAACTTCAACGGGTCCGTATTCGAGGTGGCCGCCGAGATGAACAACGTGACCTGGGATGGGAAATGCTGCGGCGCAGCGTCTGCCGCGACGAGCGTGATGCCTGGGGTAAGTGTGATGAGTACGCTGCTTCTGATTGCGGGAGTGCAGTATATGGCATCGATATTTTAGTGTTGCTCCGAGCGTATATCAGTGGGAGTTCGGAGTTGATGGATACACTTATATTATGACTCACGACTGTACAGTTAGAATTGAACCTAGTGGTTTAACTAAATTCATAAGCAGGTAAAAATTTTAACCCTAAGTAGCTGGTAGCTATCCTCTACAGGTCAACAAAGATATACTCCGTCGACAAAGTAGTAACTCCGATGCCCCTAACCCAAACCAGCTAGCGCCCACTCAGCTGACCACCACCACCACCACCAAACCAACTCCGCCCTCAATATCATCACCACAACTTTACACAGTAGACTACTACAACAACAAGCTACTCAATCCCAACCACACCACACCCGGGGGGCTAATTCACAACCCCATACCTCAACCTCCCCACCCGAATCCCATCTCCGATATCAACCAACCAACCCCCTCCGGGAGATACTCCAATCCAACCAAAATGGTCGACATCCTCCCCCTCAGCAGCTACCCCTCCTACATCGACCTCCTACCTTCGATCCAAACCTGCAACATCACGAACCTCCCCGAGAACTACTTTCTAAAATACTACCTGTACCATGCACTGACCTGGCCCCAACTATCCTTCGTGGCCGTGGTGCGGCCCAAGAACGGCTACAGCAAGTATACCACCACCACCGAGAATGGAGCCGGCAGCGCCGCAGAACAATACCCCAAGGTAGTGGGGTACGTGTTGGCGAAGATGGAGGAGGAGCCGACGGATGGGGTGCCGCATGGGCATATCACGAGTATTTCTGTGATGAGGACGCATAGACGCTTGGGTATTGCGGAGAGGTTGATGAGGATGTCTCGTATGATTCCATTCCCTCCTCCCTTATTTCATCATTCTATTTCCATCTATATATCTCTTTTTTGAGTTGCTTTGTTATGTTGTTGGGGGTTAAGTGCTAATGTGTTTCTTCTGGGGTGTGATAGAACGCGCAATGGCCGAATGCCACCGCGCACAATACGTGTCCCTGCACGTGCGCGTATCCAACAAAGCCGCTCTGCATCTTTACCGCGATACCCTCGGATTCCAGGTCGATAGTGTGGAGAGCAAGTACTATGCGGATGGGGAGGATGCGTATGCGATGCGCATGGATCTGTCGGGCATGTTTATCAATTGGGCGGAGATTGAGCGGAAGGATCGCGAGCGGGCGGAGAAAGATGAGAAGGATGCGGATGAGGGTGATGAGGTGGGTGAGTTGGGGAAGAAGGAGGAGAAGGAAAGTACTGAGAAGATGGTTAAGGTGAAGGTTGGGCGTGGGTTGGGAGTTGGGGATTTGGTTGAGAAGAATGAGGCGCAGGCTTCTTCTTCTTAGTAATTTTCCCTCTGTTCTTTTTTTTTTTTTTTTTCCTTTATAAAATGGTCCTAGGTTCTGGGGGAAAAGAGTGGGGTTGTCTTTCTTGTATAAAATAGATGTTATACGATGGCTTATGGTAGATCTTACTTGGTCTTGGGTCTTGCTTGGTATTGGTATGGAACTGGTTGGTGCATGGTTCTAAGTTTCATGTTGAAGATGCATGCTAATGACCACAATGTACCCCGGGTTGACGCCGGTATGATAAAGAAAGTAATAAATACATAAGAGAATCCCGATTCCAGTCTCTTACCATGAATATAAACACCGCTATGATCATGCATCGTCCCATAAAGTAATTCGAATAATGATGTCCTGGCCATGGCCCACTAATTGCGCCGTGACGCCCCCCGATTATATTGATCGGAGCCCTTCTTGTCTTTCTCATATGACTTCTCTGCTTCTTTGCACGGCTTCCTTTCGATTGCCGACTTCTCGCTCTTCCCCTTGACCGGCATCTTTTCGTTACTTGATGTGCTCGGTGTGCTGATAGAACTAATTTCACTATCCGATTCGGCCAGGGACCGCGCCGGGGATGGAATGGAGGTGAACGACTGCACAGTTGAGCGGCTCTCACGATTAGTGTCAAGCTCCAATCGCTGCATGTGCTGCTCGAGTGGCATCTCAGCACCATCCCTCTGCACCTCACGTGCTCGCTGCTCCTGACGCCGGCGGGTGCGTTTGAGCCGCCGCTTTTCGCGTTGCTCTTCTCGCGCTCGACGCAATACATCTCGGAATGCTTTCCGCGTGGCTCGGGTCTCTTCTTTGACCGCTCGCTTGTCTGACTGCTTCTGGTGCTGCTCGCTTGGCGAGTCCCATCGCCTCCAGCCGTGGCGCCAGCCGCTTCGTCCAGATGTACGGTTCTGGCGCCGCGACTGCTTTAGAACGTCAAGCTGACGCCGCAGACCCACGGCGGCTTCGTACAACTCCCGGTCGTGATGGTCGTTCAGTGACAAAAGCTGCGCGCGGACCGTGGCCAGATCAGAGGCGCTGAGCTCGGACGTTGTTGACAGGGAATCAATCGAAGAGAAAGACAAGTCGGATGCCTCCGAGTCGATTGAAGCCCGGCGAGTCCGTTCGGGTTGAGCTGAAGTAGTGCGTTGAGGCGTAACTGTATTAGTCGTAGCCGTAGTCGTAGCCGTAGCCGTAGGCGTGGTCGTAGGTGTATGCGCAGTGCTATTCTGTATGTACCCTGGCTTAGGGGGTTGGTTCGCGATCCAATCATCGCGAGATGGGCTGACAAAGCCTGTGAAGGCATCCTCCACCTTTCGTCCCTGGAGTCCGGCCTGCTCCTCGATCCAGCGACTGTGAGCAAGAGCCTGTTCCTCCACCTGCCTTCCATAATGTTGTGCTTGCTCAGTGAAGCGCTCTCCGTACTTTTGGGCCTGCGAGGCCAATGACGCTATCCAATCCAAGGGTCCTCCTCCCTTTGACATGCTTGGATCCTGGTAAGGAACCCCATAAGGGGAAGCAGTCCAGCCCCATGGAGGCTGAGGAGGGTAGTGACCGGGCGGCGGCGGCGGTGGTGGTGGAGGGGGGTAATGATATGCGGGATGAGGCGGATACACAGCAGGGCTGTATGGCACAGGATGCCCATAAGGTGCGTAAGGTGTATGAGGGGTAGGATATTGTGGGTAGGCATATGGCCCTGGTGTATGAACAGCACTGACTGGAGGCGCACCAGGCTGCTCAGCAGCTGTTGGTGTCACAGGCGACTGTTGCAAGCGACCTCGACCAGCGTCGGACGCCTGGGCGACTCGATTCTCTCGCGTTGTCGCAGCCGGCCAACACTTAGGACACAAAGATGATCGCGGCGCACTCTGAGGGTCCATCACGTAGACATATACGACACGAGCCGAGCGGGGTTCGAAGAAGTATTGGTTCCACTCCATTATCACGGCAGCGATCCGTTTCTTGCGTTCTTCATCCGTTTCCTGGGGCCGATCCTTGCGATCACGTTGAATCTCTGCTCTCACTTGACGGGGCAGTTGTGCCGAAGTAGACGCTAGACCCAAATGCGGTGGAAACAAGTATCTCAGGAAAACGTCCCAGTCCTGCTGGGTGATGTCTTCCGTCTTCTGCGCGGTCCAACAACGAGGTCGACGCCGGATATCCTTTGATTGGCTGCGCGGAAAGATCGTTACACAATGTTCCACAATGTCCCCCTGACGGCTTGATGTCGGAGGCGGTCGCTCCACGAAGTATTCCGCAGCAGATGTGAAGTGGGTAGGCAAGCTGGCGGAGGATGCTGGAAAATCATGACTGGCGGAGCTGGACGCAGGACTTGAGGGCGAGGTGCCTAGGGTTGTCTCCCCCCCACGCAGACGTAGCAGGACACGATTCACTTCCGCAGTTGCAGCGGCATTTCGGCTGTTTGCTTGTGCGAGTAACGGGTCGACCGCAGAGTATGGCGGAGGAGGAGCTTCGTCGGATTCCATTGTAGCGAGGACAGATAGTGTTGTAAAAGTGTGAAATCAGGATCACGGACCGAGTTGACCTTCAGGTTCGTAACCCGTCATCCATCGCGCATGGGAAGATATGCAACACCCACCAGCCTTCCCGGACACACTCAGGTACGGAGACGCTGGAAGGCAGCAGGATTATGTAGATTCCGAGCACGGTAATTAGCCCTGGCACTGCACGGACGAGCGAGCGAACCGCACGGCAGACGTAGGAGAGTTGAGTCCTACTCCTGAGTAAGATGATCAGGAATTCAAAAGGCCAGAGAACGGGATGGCCGGCAGGTGGAGGGAGAGACAAGATGACTTGGGAGTGTCTCGGGCGGCGGAGGATCAGCGGCGGATGTGATCACGGGGCAGCCGGCGCTTGATTGGCGCCACCCCTCCGCCTTATCGAGTCGATCCTCAAGCCAGACTGACTAGTAATATTTCTCTCTCCTCCACTCAACTATCGATTTGTCTAACGGTGCTCCCCCCCTACCGCTACCCGGCGTTTCATGTTTACTTCTAGTGGGCTGCCCCAGATTTATTAACTGTCAAAACCAAGCTGTATATGACAATGTTTGCAATAATGAATTCTATCCTATCGCAACTCATATGCAGCAGCAACAAACAAGCAATTAACCAGACTATATACTGCATGGCGCCCAAACTCCCCTGCCTTGATGCCTTGGATATGTCGCAAGATGATGAATATAATCACGATATAGTGCAAGGGAATATGTACCCTGATGAACAGAAAGATGCGGGTATTAAGGATCTATACTGCTAATCCCAAGCGTCTCCCCAACCGTCGTCCTCCTCAGCGTCTTTAGGTGTCGTGTCGATCTTTTTCGCTGGTGCGACAACGGTCCTGGGCTTAGCCGTGCTACTGCGGCTAGATGGCCGTGATACCGAGGTGGGACTGGATTTATTCAATCCCTTTGGCAATGGCTTCTTTGACTTGGACTGGGCAGCCAGCCAACCCGCAAAGTCCGGCTCGCCGCCATCATCGTACGGAACGGGGGCTGCTTTAGGTGCAGGGGCAGGTGCAGGAGCAGAAACTGTTGGACTGCTAGTTGCTGTCGCACTGAACGGGTCCTCTTCTACTTGCTGCTCGTCTTCATCATCGTCCATTGCACCCCACGCGTCGTAGACATCTTCTGTATCATCCTCTTCTTTAGCCAAAGTTGGTGGTTGCTCCGACATGGACCGGTTCAAAGACTGAGTTGCAGGCCGTAGTGTCTCTTTCTGCACCGACGATGACGCCCTCGTTGGGCGGGGAACAGAAGCTGGACGAGCTGGTTCAGGCTCAACCGGTTTAGCACCGTTGGCGGTGGGTTCGATTTCGCCATTGGCCGCCGTGAGCTTATTGGTGAACGAGGAAATCGCCCATCCAGCCCATGACTTGTCGTTAGATGTGCCAATACGGGCTGTATCCTTTGTCGGATCTGCACTGGCTGCCGGAGGAATTACCGTGTCTGCCATTGTGCTGGCGTACTTTCGGATACGCTGGAGATACAAGTCGAGTGTCTTATTCGCCTGGTCTCTGACCATCCTATATGAAGCATTAGACCCGAGCCATGCAAGAAAGTGGGTGTTCTTACTTTTCCTTATCCAGAAGGGAAGGGCAGATAGCCGGAAGCACTTTGGTCGCGCAGTCTTCCTCGGTGAAGAACTCCAGCGTCGCTCCGAGAGCGAGCAGACCAGCGCTCCGGGCGTGGACGAAGGGATCCCGAAGAGACCTGGTGAAGGCCGCAATAAGAACCTTGGATCTCGACTGTATCTGGTCAGCATTGCGTATGAGGATTTTAAGAAGAGTCACTCACGCCTTGCCCGAGGTTCTTAGCGATTTTGCCCAAGCAGATTGTGGTATTTGTACGGATTCCCGGCTGCTCATCGTTGGCGGTACGCGCGAGGAACTTGAGCAGATCACCGTTGATTACGCGATCGCTGAGCTTGTTGATAATTGGCAAAACAGCCTTGACCGTTTGCTCTCGGACGACGGGTGCGGCATCAGTGAAGCCGGAGGTCTGTAGCATATGGAGTTAGCATCGAGACCAGCCGGGGTGTGTAGGTACTGACAATCTGAGGAAAGATCTTGTCATTGACGATCTTTTGAGGCAGGTTGTCAATCATCACCGGGAGGTTATCGAGCAAGCAGACCCGCAGCGCTCGATCCGGGTTCCCAAAGAGTCGGACAACGACAGGCGTAAGTCTCGAGTTGAACTCTTCCTGGGATAACTTCGCCCCGATCTTCAGAATAGCTCCCAGTACCTTTGGGCCGCCTCCGCCAAACTCAACTGACTTTAGCAACTCAGGAAGCACCTTCATCTTGAAAAACTCCTCAGGGAAGTCGTCAGACAACTCATCAAGCTCACTACTCCAGTCAGAATCCACTGTTGCAGCCTGTTGCTAACGAGACATTGACTCACTTGACAAACTCCTCCCGCTCTGCATCGTTCTTGAGTCCCAAACTTTCAATATCGTCCGTCAGCCGGATCAATGGGGTTTCGAAGAAGCCGCCGCTCTTCTTCCCCTGCTCAACAAAATGGGCAGGGCTCAGGCGCAATTTGGGGTTCGCCGTACACAGGCGTTTATAGCTCTGATGCATACTGGGCGGGATGTTGGTCGTCTTGCCCACCTGGTCCCCGCCAGTGAAGTTGCCATTGTAGACCTCGTAAATTAGTATTCCAAGCCCGTAAGAATCAATCGCAGTCAGCGGGTTCCGTTTGATCGTGTCCCATCCGCTCTTGACGACCTCCGGAGGTGTGAATCGAGCCGCGTCAGGAACGAGACTACCATATGTCTGCAAAGCGCTGTCAGTAAGACCGCATTTCTGTCATGTAATCGAAGATAAACCGACATAAATGACCGCATTCTCATCGTTCATTGAACTCAGAATATCGAAACCGCCCAGCTTCCATTCCCCACTCTCGCTTGTGAATACCGAGGAGGCCCTGACAACACCATGAACAGAGGCCGCATCTCCGTTGATGAACTTGAGCGTAGACTGTAGAACCGCATACGTCAGAACAAACACAATCGCAACTACACCCACCATAACCAGGACATACCGCCACAGTATACAACCCCCATTTGGACGTCTCCTCGCTCAGACTCCTCCGCTTAACATGCCACGAAAGGGGAACGACTCGCTCGGTGACAATGTAAAGGCTAGCTTCCGTCTATAACTCGTCAGCCATCCAAACCATACAACATACAATGCATGATCTATTATATGCCCAATTACCTCTATCGTATCCAAGACCTTAATCACCCCGGGATGTCTCAGCGTCCGGGACTTGCGCACCGCATTCTTCGCCAACGGTAGACGGGACTTATTGGAAGCAATATCGAAGGTAAAGACGCTGCAGGGCGAACCGTCTTCCTATACGTACCAAGCGCCGATCAGCAATCGCATTAGCCCCATGGGGGGATTTTGATTCCGCGGGCCCGCATGACATCTCATACCCGTTTCGTAGCATTGTGTAGCGTCCAGATCGAGTCGGAGAGGTCGACTCTGTCTCCGAGTGAGTAAGGGAATGAACTACCCTTTGCGATCGCCGATGCGACGGCAGATTTGAGGAAATCCATGGCTGGTGTGGGTGGTGCGGACAGTTGTGGGAGGGGGGCAGCTAATTAACTACTAGCTGGTCTTTAAAGATACCACCGCAGCGGCGACAGTGGAGGAACGTCTTCGGCGGGGAGGGAAAAAGAAGGGGAGGGTATATAAACGGATAACACAAAGAAAGAAAGAAAGAGAGAAAGCCTTAGAGAAACGACACGTATGCGACCGATCTCTAGTTCAAGGCAGAACGACAGAGATTCAACGGCCCCCAAGTTCAACAGGGAGAGAGAGATCGGGGGACATGGGAATAATACAACGGATTTGTCCCCCTTTGGCGCTGCCCGTGGTACCCCGCCCCCAATCGGGTTTAGGGTCTTTTTGTGGGAAAGCTCCCCATTTTATCGCCGGAGCTTGACTTTCTTTCTTTCCCTTTACCTTTAACAACATACACACACGCTCTCCTGTTTCTATATCTATCTATCTACCGCGACAGACGCGTCTGCTGAATGATAGCAGCAACGACACTGATACCTACATGATGCTCTCTTCGCTCTTATTGTCAACAATCAATACTCACCTCCAACTAACCCTTCACACCGAGCTGAGCTAACACAAGGCACGTCCCATAACTTCCTACTTGACTCCTCCCCCTCGTCCCAGACCCAATTCAACTTCCAGTCACAGACAACCCTTCCCCCCAATCCCTTCACTTCCAAACCAAAAGAGACAACCCATTCTCCAATGATGATCACCTGGTAAAAGGTCAGACCGCAAAACCCATACGAAAGCGTCGTCTCAACGCCCTCCGCTGTGTGCTCACCTTTCAACCCAACCAACACTCCCAGCACAAGCAATCCAACAAAGAAAAAATCCCCTTCCTCGAATACTCTCCCATAGCAAACATTACGAGAACATCTCTCGCGGCTACCTGATTCCATTCCTTTCCTTTCCCGCTCTTCTCCATCATAAAGGCAGGCACAAGTTCTTGTTAAAGGCATGAAGGTTCTGGTCGAGAGGCTCACGACACTGCTTTATTTACCTTGGAGAGACATGTGTACAACAAACAATTACTTTCTTTGTTTCCAAGCCGCAATTTGGGGTTTCTGGTCCGCTTTTCACCATGAGGAATTTCAGAAACTAATGGCTGCGGCGTACATTCTTTTTTCTTTGAGTTCACTGCCGAATGGGAGATTTGCGGGCTGGGAGGGATGGGTAGGGTGAAGCAGGGATCGAACTGTGGTTTTGTGATGGGTTTGGGGGTGGTGGATTCTGGGTGCTTTGGCTGGTGATTGGGCTTTGGGTTGGGGGGTAGAGTACCGCGGTGGCGGCGTCTTTCTTGGTTGGATGATGACCAAATAAGAAACTGAAAAGACCTGAGGAGAATGCTCTTTCACTACTTGATGCTTGTTGTTGAAATTTTGTTATCCTAGTTAGACCCTGCGACTATCTACTTCCGTCGTGCTGACTAGCAGCTCCTGCGTAGTTGCTACGCTACTTATACTAAGTCCTGTCTACAAGAGGCATCAGGCTCGATTATATGAATGTCATTCATCCCCTTCAAAATGAGTAAAACAAGTCGCCCTAGAACACTTCCCTTCATATCATCTCAATGTCATCCCGACAACTCACCCCCGTACTGTGCAGCGTGTCTCCTATACCACTCGCTATGGCCTCTTCCACCCGTCGCTGTCCATCAGAACTCCCCTCTTCCTCCGGTTCGATTCCCATGGGTAGAGATGGCAACGCAAAAGACATGCAAGACGAAGAAAGGAAAAAAAAAAAAAAAGAAAAAAGAAAAAAAGATAAATCCCAGAACATCATTGGCATATAGCAATGAGTACCCCAGTAACTTGGAAAGTTATCGTAGTGGAATCCCTTCGTTGGCTTTCGTAAATCACCTCCAAGAAGCCGTATAGTATAGGCCTGCATAGGATGGCAACAAGGCCATCGGATGCCGAACTATTTGCCGACACACCAATCCCCAGAGGTCTCTCAACTTATAGCTCATGGCTATACTCCTATACACACCTGATCTGACTGCAATACTTCACACGAAGCTGCCACCTCGCCTGCCTTTGGTTAGCACGTACCAACCAATCGAGGGTACCAAGGAAAGCTTACCAGCAGGGAATCGCAACCCGCCAACCGGGAACACTATAAGTCTTCCGGTGCACATAGCGCAGCGCATACGTACAATGTACAGATAGCTTTGGTAAACATAGTGAGGTTGTTGGTCGACGCGAGACGATTTGAGTCGCCAACGGTGAACAACTGGAGTTCACATCCAAGTGAAGCCTGAATTTCCAAAGAGGAACGGCGGTGTTTTGGGTCAGGTCGCTAAGCCAGCGATATGGCGTCTCACGCTTGTCAAGCGGGGGGTGGTTCATTTCACTTCATCCGCTGCCTCTTGCGGTTGAGATCCAGATGCGACAGTAGACGGGGGTTGAGCAGGCATTTGGGGAGGCATCTGCGGCATTTGGTTGTAACCGGTACTCGGTGTCCGATGCTGGTGGGGTGGGTAATGGTGCACTTGGTGGGGACTGGACTGGAAATGGGGCTGCTGCTGAGGATAATTGCCGCGGACTGGGGGCACTATGCTAAGTTAGCTACCTAACCCCACAACGGTCTTCTGACTTCGTTATAACATACTGTGAGTAGGCTGCTGCGTCGGATACACGGGTTGGCCATGCTGCCCAGGGGACATGAACATCACCGGTTGGGGGGGCTGACCGGGCTGAGAGTTCTGGTGCATCATCATGGGAGCACCCCGACTGGGACTGGGATAGCCACTGTGAGGCTGGGGCGGTGGCACATGTTGGGGATACGCGTGGCTAGGATTTGGGGAATACATCTGCATCTGGGGTGTATAGGGGGCCACGCCTTGAGGAACACCCATGTATGGTCCGCTAGACGGCTGTTGAACCATCATTGGAGCGCCCATGGTTGGTTGGGGGTTGACGAATTGGGGACCGCCCGGGTAATGTCTCATATGTCCAGGTTGTGTGCCGGCCTGGCTGACATAGAACTGTGGCATGGCTTGGCCAAATGCAAGCTGTGCATGTGGCGCCATGGGGGACGGGTAACCGTGCTGTAACCTGGGGGATGGGAACACTTGCGAGGTCGAGGCAGACATCTGCATGCGGTGGGGATCGTCAAAGTGTGGGGGCCCGGAATTATGATGCTGCTGAGGGTGCAGATGAGGCCCGTGTGGTGGACCAGTGGTGGGAGGCATGCCGGGCGTGTTCTGTGGGAACTGGAACGGCATCTGCGGCGGAGGCATCTGGGGATTGGACGCAGAGCGGCTCTGGGGAGAGATGGCCGGCACCGAAGCAGGCGGCTTGAACATTTCCAGGTAAGTCTTTTCTTCGTTTCCGGGAGCGGCATCCCAAGTAGGGGGAGTCCTGTAAGCAGGCGGGATGCCTCCATTGAAGGCGAAACCCTTTTCATTTGACTCCGCATTTTCCTTCTTCATGCGCTTAATGGGGTTGAACTGATCATTAAGGGACGGCCTCTCAGAAATTGGTCTTGGCTTCTTAGCCCCGAAGAACAACGAGGGGCTAGTGGTCCGTGAGACGGAGCGTCCTCGGGTGAAAGGAGATGAGGTGGACGAAGCGCCGGGTGTAAAGGTACTCGCGGCGGGGTTTGGCTTAAACTCCAGGGCCCTCACGTTGAACTTGGTCGATACGGACGAGGTTGGTGTCTGCACCTTATTCGGGCTAGTAACAGCAGGCTGCTCGCCAGCTGGGCCAGTTGGAGGAATGCGAACTTCATTGATAGGCAAGGGAGCGGGAACAGTTCCCATCGCGGCTCCCTTTCGCTGCTGTATGTTATCTGCTAGACGATGGCCGAGCATGCCAGTGGCTTGACGGCCCTGGTGCACGGGCTGCTGCGGAAGCCGCCCACCCGGTCCAGCATGCGGACCGGTTGGGGGAAACATTTGACGACCCCGAGGATAGTTCTGGCGGTCAGCCTGCGCAGGAGGCGGCATAGTTCCACTCTCCTGGCGAGCGTTTCCAGATGGGCGAGCAGCGGGCTTCGAGTCAGCGCTTGCTGGGGACTTGGTCACCACCTTCTCCTCAGCGTGCTGCTGAGCTCTTTGGATGATCTCTTCCTGCTTGTGCGGGTCTTTAGCTAGGATGGGTACCAAATCCTTGGGCACTGGCGTTGCCAATTTGAAGTTCTTGGAAAACTTCATAAGTTCGTTCAACTTAATGGTTCGATCATACGAAGCCTGGTTACGACGGCGTTCTTGCAACTTCGCCTTTTCACTGTGGGCGAATTGCCGGAAAGAGTCGAGCACCTCGGCCTCCACATTCGAAGTAGCATTTGCCGGAGTTGGGGCACCAGATGTGGTCTTGGACAAGGCAGGCTTTTGTTCCGTATCGGCAGCAGAGCTTGCTGTTATACTGGACGGTGCAGGCTGGGCCTGGGCCTGCCCATTCTCCTTGGGCGGTCCGGCGGCAACAGCCTCTTTCGGGGCACTAGGAACCTGTTTGAGGGAGCTTGCGGAAGCTCCCGAGGCCATGGCAGATTGAGCGGCGTTTTGCCTGCGCGCTGGCGGAGTGTACTTATTTGGCTGGCCCGAAACAAGCGGCGGGAAGTTCCTCTCATCACGGCGGACACCGCTGTATTTAGCTTCCTCATCATGATCATCTGCCGATACCTGCCCTCTTTCCTCACGAACATGTGCATTGTCTGTAGTAGCGCCTTCGATTTCGCGAGCAATTCGAGCAGCATCTGCTTCCTTCTGTTTATAGGTAGGGTCCGACCGATCGATTCTAGTGGTGTAGATGTTCTCATCGTAACTGCTGGTAGCACCGAAGAGCCTGGCGTTTGCTTCGAACTGGTCCCATCCAGTTGAATTGTGCGCGCTTTCGAGTGAGAGGTCAACGTCCGTATCAGCGGCAGGTTCCCAGCGCTTGAGGGTCCGCTCGCGAATCGCAAGATTTCCGGAGATGTCAGTATCCGTTTTGAAACCTACCGGAGTCCCTGATACTTCGTTAGGATTTCAAAGTGGCCATCAATGTGATCAAGCTAGCCCGGTGACTTACCGTTCGCGCTCTTTGCTGTAACATCGGCCGGGGTGACGTTCGGGACCGAAATATCGACCACATCCTTGACATCGAAGGACATGCTATGATCCGGCGCCGACCCCATATACGGGCTTGAGACATCACTAACCCCATTCGCTTTGCTCTGATCCGCCTTGGTGGGCCGTTGCACCATCTTGAGTACGAATGAACAGTCGCTAGGGTCCAACGTCGAGGACGAAAAAATTCCCGTGTATTTATCCCCATTTCTTGTGGTAATCGTAGCATTCAAACCCTGAAAACCGTAAGCCTTTCACGTTGACACATGCCGGGTCTGGAACACTGAGCTTACAATGAAGCTAGCAAACAAGAAGACAAGACGGTCATTTGCGTGGTTATCGGGGGTGTTTGACTCTTTTGTAGTCGGTCGAGGAGAGGCGGACTGTTTGTGAGACATGTTGCCGTTCTGCTGTGAGTACGAGGCCCGCTGTGTGATCGGGTTTGCGCCGTGAGACCAAGCTTTGGTGGAGTTACTGCGTCTATCATGAAGCAAGAAATGGATTAGCCAATGCGCAATACAATGTCGTGGCTACCAGCAAAGAGTATGAGATCAACGATAGTGCCCTTTCATCAGGCACGAGTCTGGTGGTAGAACAAGAACACGGGGTGAGAAAAAATGAGAAAGCGAGGACACAATGACGCCAAACAGTCGTCAAGAAGACCCGACAGCCACGGAGGGCATTGGCAGGACAGGGGGGATGGTAACAGAGCAAACGACCATATTTCGTGAGGCGACAAGCGGTGAGGAAAGGGCAATGGAAGCAAACGAGTCGAAAGGAGCTGGGAGGATTGAGGCATAACATGTTGACCTCGCAACGTACCTCTGCCCGCTCTCGAGAGGACTACCGGATTGACGCCGGCCGCCCTCCGAGGCCTTCGTACTAGCACTGGATCTCAAAGAAGGTCTAGTACCGGGGTTCTGAGGATTCACGGCATTGCCAGACGCACTGTTGGCAGCCGGCACTGAGTTGACGGTAGAAGCCATCTGGCTGGATCGTCACCGAGCGTAGCTCTACGTCGTCGCACGACGCAAAGCCGTAAAGAGTGCGGACGGAAGGCACGAAGCCAAAACACACCGCCTGCGCAAACAGGACCGAAGAAACGGTGGATGGAGTGGGAGGAAGGGATTTGGGGGGGGAAAGGAAGAAAGAATGGCGGGGTGGAAGGGGGAAAAGGGAA